CCCTCCACTGCCCTTTCCAGTGCCATCTGGTCAGCTAGTGCTCAGAGAGAAGACACAACTAACATTTTCACTTTAAAGCAATAAAATAGAAGGGTCATGCTATATGTTCCCTAATATCCCTTCCAGCTAGAAAAAATTTTAAGCATAAAAATCCATGAGATAACAAAACCACTACAACAATACAGAATTGATCACATGTAATTTTGAAATCCAAATAAGTCATGAGTACCTAAATGCCACATCTTAACACAACTTTATGACCCAATTAACAAGAAATACACACAGACACACACACATTGTTAGTCAGTGCAATTATATAAAAACACAAATAAAAATCAAATAAATGAGATATGACTTGCTACTAACTTTCATTTGATTGAAATAATTCATGATATTTCTGTTCAGTCACTTAGCAACTTTCATTGAACATGTGTGTGTTTTCAAACTCTTGTACCACAAACATTTAAATACAAAGCATAGCTAAGAATTTAATATTTGCTGGTGGAGTGGTTAGTGGTGATTCCATTACCATATTGTTCATAAATTGGTTGAACAATTACACCTGGAAAAACAATGTCTTAGATTCTAATGCATTTGTTAATTACTTGAACTTCAGACATTTTTGTTCCAAAGCTAAACAGCTTTTTTAAAAAAGTGGAATGTGCTATGAAAAAAGTTCTCAAGATATGGACATTTTAATGACATTGATTCTACCAATCCATGAACATGGTATATTCTTCTATATGGTTTATATCTTCTTTTATCTCTTTTGTCAATATCCTGGAGTTTTTCAAGTACAGGTCTTTTACCTCCTTGGTTAAATTTATTCCTAAGTATCTTAAATTTTGTGTTGCAATGGTAAATGGGATTGTTTTTTTCATTTCTCTTTCTGAGAGTTCATTATTGCTGTATAAAAATGCCATCAATTTCTGGGTGTTAATTTTGTACGCTGCTACATTGCCGAATTCATTTATTAAATCGAGTAGTTTTTTTTGTGGAGTGTTTAGGATTTTCTATGTACAATATCATGTCATTTGTGAAATATGACAGTTTTATTTCCTCCTTTCCAATTTGGATGCCTTTTATTTCTTCTTCTTGTCTGACCGCTGTGGCTAGGACTTCCAGTACTATGTTGAATAAGAGTGGTGAAAGCAGACATCTCTGTCTTGTTCTTATTCTTGTATTATGCTAAGCAAAATAAGCCCATCAGAGAAGATGTGTTACATGATCTCACTCGTATGTGGAATCTAATGAACAAAATAAAGTGAAGAACAAAATAGATCCAGAGACATAGAAGCATAGAACAGACTGAGGAACTTCAGAGGGAAGGTAGGGGTGGGAGAGGAGAGATTAACCAGGGAAATTATATGCATAGTCATGGATACAGACAAAAGAGTGGTGAAGGCCTGGGAGGGGCAGGTGCAGGGAGGAGGGGGTCAATGGGAAATAAAACAAAGGGAACATTTGTAATACTTTCAACAATAAAGATACATTTTAAAAATTTATAAAATTCTCAAGATATTGTTTTGTGAAAAAGTCTTACAAAACAGTATCTGTAATATCAGACCATTTTGTATATAAGTACATATTTGCCTAGACAACAAGCTAGCAGAATATATACTAAAATGTAGCAGATGGTGTTCATAAGTCTTTTCCAAGCTGTTTACAATGAACATATGTTAGCTTTGTAACTTATATTATAATTTTAAACTCAAAAGTATAGACATATTATTGTCTATGTTTTAACACTGGCATATGCATGGAAATAAGGTCACCAAAGAAACTTTTTTTCCATTTTATGTCTATCTTTTGCTTATATAATCCTTTAAAATGTTTCATTTTCTGAGTTTGCAGTTGGTTAGAATCTATGGCTATGAGAATGGAGCCAAACCAAAAAAACATTTTTAAAATCTCTGTAGGAATCATTCTTTCCAGTATACATCAACTATTCATTTAGTAGATTTATGGATTGGCAAAGATTCTCAACCCAGTTGAACTGGTGATAGCCTCTAATCATTTGCCTTTCAACATCCTCTTCAGCATCTATTAATGCTGCATGGCATTTAAAAATTGTAAGTGAGTTAGCCTTTTTCTTTTGTGGAGGTCTTTTTAATTTGGGGGGATGGCTGGCAATGAGAGGATGAGAGATGGACCTGCCCTCCTGGTCCTCACAGCTAAGCAGGTACTGTTGGCCTGGCCGGGTCTGCCTATTCACAATCCCCTGGGGGCCTCTGCAGCGCCCGCCCCCCCCCCGCCCCCCCTCCAGCCTCTGGCCTAGTGCTTTGACAACTAAAGGTCAAATATATTGCCTCTCCATGTATCCTTTTCTTCCCTTACACCCAGCCATAGTCTTGAGGTCAGTCTCCATCCATCTTCCACCAAACTAGAGGATGGCTGACAGCCTGAACCAGAACACTGGTCCAACAAGGGAAGATATGTGCTTGTTATTAATCAGGTGCTGGAGATGCTGTTTTAAAAATCTTAATAACAGCCCTTCCACAGTATCTTACGGCCTCTGTGCCCATTTTTGAGGCCCTCCTGGTGCACTTTGTCTTCATCGCTGAAACCAAACTGTAGGAGAAAACGTACCATTGTCCAACCAAGCTACAAATATGACCCTTGAAGGAGGGAGGTACCCGGAGACCCCACAGTGGGGAGGCGCGTGCTGGAAACAGTCAGAGCCCCAGCCGAGCCAGCCTGTGGGGCTGGTCCAGGGTGCAGAGGGGCGCACGTGCAGCCTTGGTGGCAGCACTGCGGCTGCGGCTGCGGGAGGGCAGACACATTGGAACCCAGGGAGAGAAGTCCCGCCTGTGAGTCTGGAGCTGCCCTTCTGGGAGAGTGCATGCAGGACTCAGGAAATGTTGGGAGTCTCAGAGCTCTGGGGGCCCTCGAGTGGGGAGTCGAGAGATCTAGGGAGTGCCATGGATGTGGGCAGGAATGAGGGGCTCAGAGGCTCCTTGGAACTTGCAGGAGACGTTCTGGGAGCACCTTCTCGCAGCCGGGCTCGAGGACGCCTCTGCACTCCCGAGGGCTGGTCATTCGGCTTTGGTGGAGCGCCACCCGGACTCTTGACTGGGACGGAGAGCGCCCTGGGTTCCCCAAGACTCACCTTTTTGGCCTTTTTGCCCCCAATGGGTGCCATCTTCGTGGTGTCCGGACTGAAACTCGGCTCGGATGTGGACCTACGAGGCTTGTGTGTCCCCCTGCGAAGCCCAGAGCTGCCCCGCGGCTGCAGCCAGGCTCTTTATACTCGCTGCTCCAGTGTGGGATGGTTTCCCCAGCCTCCTCGCGGTCCAACTACCGGCCTCGGGCGGGGAACACGCCCACCAGCCTTTTATTGAGGCCTGCCTGCTGCTTGGGAAGCTGCCTTTTGCTGAGGAGGTGATCGAGATTGTTCTCCCAAACGGGTGAAAACAACGAGAAGTAAAATAAGAAAAAAAAAAAAAACAATAATAATGAGGTCACCACTCAGGCTTCAGATGACCTGCTCACAGTCCCTCTTTGCCCTTCGTGGGTCCCTGATTCTGATTCACTTCTCCCTTGCCTGGGATCATGCGCCATTGTTTACGTAAGCCACCTGTCAAGGACCCTGCAAATTCCATTAATGCCCAAATATTTGTCCAAGGCCAGGGTACAAGATTACTGGGTGAGGAGGCTTTGCCCTGGAAGCCAGCCTGTGTCATGTGTGATATATGTCCAGCGGTTACATAACGGAACACAGAGACAGCATTTGCCGAAAGTACCCATACAACCCTGAATTAGTGGGTATGTTTAAAACTTCCTTCTCCCCTTATATCCAAAACATGCCTTGCGGTTTCTAATACAAGCGTTTTTAATAAAAATATCTTTTCAATGTTTAACCATGGCAGACTTTTAACATTTACCTATGATAGTGGAAATGTACTTTAGAGACTTCAAAATTCAGAGAAAATACTATGTATAAAAACGTATAGACTGGTAACAGTAGTTATCTGCTCGTGTGGAAATAAGGCTTGCTTTTATTTTATTCATTATGTTTTACTGTACTTTCCAAAATGTCTTTATAATAAGAACACATTGTTTTAAAAGTAATTAGAACATTACTTTTTAAAATGTACTACAGGACAGTAAATAGCCTAGAGAACAACTAAAAAGCCTGAAGCCAAGTTCACACTCTTACCCAAAATAAAAGCACAGGAGTAAATTCTGTATCTGGGACAATAGTCTCCATTTCAACATGTGCAAAGAAGAGCATTACTGTGGCAAATGATGAATCAATACACATTTAATTGTTTAAATAATATGTACTTGATATATAACTGAGAAAGTAGAAAAGGCCTTTGTTTCTGATAATGGTCAAGTTTAAAATGGAAAAAAAAGGAAGGATGATGGACGAGTATATGTAATATAATAATCTAATATTTCACCTGCCCAGCAAGAGTGAGGAATGAGGTAATGCCATCCTTCATAGTAACTAGATTTTTGACCATTAAAGCATTGGAGTATCCCAGTAGGTACTAGTTTATTTGGTTAATGCATTAATTACATATAGGAGTATCCTGGTGAATATTGGTGAGATGAACAGTGAGCCCAGCTCAGGCTGCAGGAAGCAGCTACAGTGGTGGGTATCAGGCGCTAGGGGGCGGTATCGGGGCTCTTGACAAGGAAAGCTGAAGCAGACATTCTCAATTTCACAATTCATCCAAACTCAGCAAAACTTAGAAGAGATTTTAGATGAACAGCATTTAATTTAAAAATAAATTGTGGCCGAGGCCGGTTTGGCTCAGTGGATAGAGCGTCGGCCTGCGGACTGGAGGGTCCCAGGTTCGATTCCGGTCAGGGGCATGTGCCTGGGTTGCGGGCACATCCCCAGTAGGAGATGTGCAGGAGGCACCTGATCGATGTCTCTCTCTCATCGATGTTTCTAACTCTCTATCTCTCTCCCTTCCTCTCTGTAAAAAATCAATAAAATATATTAAAAAAAATAAATTGTGAATTTTTAATAGATAATGTAGACCAGGGGCCCTCAAACTTTCCAAACAGGGGGCCAGTTCACTGTCCCTCAGACCGTTGGAGGGCTGGACTATAGTTTGAAAAAAAAACTATGAGCAAATTCCTATGCACACTGCACATATCTTATTTTGAAGTAAAAAAACAAATATAATATTTGTATTTGCATGTGGCCCACGGGCCGTAGTTTGAGGACCCCTGATGTAGACACACATGGCAAAATTTTTAAGTCTTTTCCTGGCTGCTGTTTCCAGTACAAGTCTTCCTTGAAGGTAACCACTCTTGCCTGTGAACTATTTCTCCAGGGCAACTCTATGCATATATAAGTGTGTTCATGCATAAATAAGAATGTATATGTAAATGAAAGGAATTTTAGTTAAGCACTTATCTACCCCTAACTTTTCCAAAATGATTTTATAGACAGCTATTGAAATATTTTTGTTTTTCTCAGCCTATCAGTTTATCCTAATTCCCCACACCCACCCTAGTGAGGGCCATTTAAAAAAATTTCACCTACTATTTCAATAATAAATAATAATAATATCTACAGCTCACTGAGTTCACAGTTTCACTTACTATGTGCCTGGCACTACATTAAGCCTTTTACATACATAGTATTACTTACTCCTAACAAATCTGTGAGGTGGGCACCCCCTCTTTGTACTCCAAACCATGAACTCAGAGAGTTGGAATAGTTATCAGTGTGAGCTCTGGAGTTCCTTTGCCTCATTCCCAAAGGACCAAGTCCGCTTGGATACCCGCTGGGAGCAAGTTCTGTCATAACTGTTCTTGGGAGGCTGCCCATGTTCTTTGTGCTCTTCTAGAGCAATGAGATGAGGAAGGTCATAACACTGAAGTCTTTGGCCTCCTACACAGATGTTTGAGGTGGGAGATAAATCCTGAATGGAAAGAGGAGGACTAGAGCTGGAGATCAACCCCCTCTGATTTATAACCTCCAGAGTAAGGTCTTTCACTAGTGCTTTGCTTTACTTATAACCCCATTTATTCACTCAACAAACATTTAAGTAGCATTTCTACAGTGTTTCAAACACCATGTATTATTGGAGGTAAAGGATATCTCCTTTTTTCTAAGGGGTGGGGGCGGGGGATACACACCATCTCATACAAGTTAAAATGTCCCTTGTCACATTGGTAATTCCTTAACTAATAAAGAATTTAAAGATTAAAAAAAGTAAAAATAAATAAAATAAAATGTCCCCGTTTCAATATGCAGTTGGGGAAAATATCAGGACTTTTTGTTTTTCATTTAAAAGTTGGAATCATCTTTTAAACTGAAAGTGGCTTTTCATAGGTCTCTTCAGATTAAAAATATTTCATTTAGCCTTTAAAATCTCTGAAGAGGGTTTATGTTTTAACACCATGTAAAACAGTGTTTGCAAACTGTTGACATGGAAATGGGCCCACCTCTGTGTTTCCTTTGGCAAGGCCAGTGATTTTTAAAAATTGCATGTGAATTCTTTTATGTGGAGCCTTCCCTTTGCCAGTCTGACAGACCCAGTTGTCCTACACTCTCGTTCACATAGTCACCTTAATTTAAAGGCATTTGATTTTTCAACTTCTGCTGTAAATGTATTTGGGGTTATCAAATACATGTGAGATGTCCTTTGGTCTGAATTCTACCAAATAGCCCCCAAATTGAAGGTTTTACTTTCCTTATATTTTCCTCTTGCTCTACCCCTGGTTGCTATTGCCCAGGGTCATAATAAAGAGGTGGTGAACATCGGCTTTTCATCTAAAATCCCCTTCCTGGGTGCACAGCCTTTTCTCACTTTTTTGATGGTACTTTATTCCCCCTGTCCATTACAATGACCACACTCACCAGTTATCCCACCCAGCACATCAGGTGTATCAAACCACCTTACATAATTACTCCCTTTTTAGGGGCTTGGTTTCTTCATATGTAAAATTCAAGTTGAAGCTAAGTGACTTTCCAGATTGTTTTGGTAAGTGCCTTCACATGAAGTTGGCTTGACATAGACTAGAGCATAAGATAAATAGCCTTTGCCCCGGGCGCTCTCTTTGCTTTCCCCTGGCAGTTAACAAGTCTTCCTTAGGCTGGCTCCCAGGGTGCCTCAGTTTGTGCCTCCAACTTCTGCTCATTCCTAGTTCCTAGAGAAAGAAGAGAGTTTTTCTGTTTGTTTAGTTTGTTTTGTTTGCTGAACTGTTCAGGACTTCCTTCCACTGTAGGTAAAAGTGCTTCTCTCAGCCCTGGCTAGTTTGGCTCAGTGGATAGAGTGTCGGCCTGCAGACTGAAGGGTCCCAGGTTCAATTCCGGTCAAGGACACATGCCCGAGTTGCTGGCGTGCAGGGGGCAGCAATCAATGATTCTATCTCATCATTCATGTTTCTATCTCTCTCTCTCCCTTTCCTTTCCTCTCTGAAATCAATAAAAAAATTTATATTTTTAAAAGTGCTTCTCTCAGAGCCGACAGATCTGGCAGCTTGTACAGTCTCCTGGGTTCCACAGGGGAGTCCTTAAGTAATTTTCCAGTGAGTTCTGGTCACCCCCAAGTTCTTAAACTGTCCTCCCAGCATGGCAGTTGCACCCCACATTCTCCTTATTGCTCTGGAAATGTCTCTCGTCTCTTCCTCCTTTCCTTTCATGTTTTCTAACAGCTAATTGGCCTGTTTTCTGTGGTCATGTGTCGTTTTTGCTTCTTTTATGAAACAAGACAAAACAACCGGGGTCATGCAATTAGTTACCAAAAGGAAATAGTCTGCCCTGTCAAGGCCATTACCCACAAATGCACCAGGACTTTGGGACAGTGTGTAACCCCTTGGTTGTCCAGTCATTCTGAAACTTTGTTGTTGTTTAAAATGGATATTAGAAAAGTCATAATTTCCTGGGATAAGCAATCAATCCTTGGTTTCCTTAATCTTTGTGAGCTGCTGAGAGATAAACTAAGGCATCTATTGCCTCTTTGAGTGGAAAAAGATGGAGTAGAAGCTATAGACCCCCGCTTTCTCATTGGTCTGTTGGCTCCAGCACGTAGCTCCTGATCTGGGGAGTTACACCCCATGTCCTGGTCTAGAACTTTCAGGGGAAAACACACCAGGTTGGTGGGCGTGTGGTGTGAGAAGGAAAAAGGCAGAGGTGGATGCATAAAGAAAAGATGGAGGAAAATCTGGTTCTGGTAGGGTGAGATGTGGTGTCCAGTCGGAGCAAGGTTAGACATGAGCACCGCGCTGAGGAGCTTATATTTGACTAGAGGCACCAGTGGGATCCCTCAGCCTGGCCTGCTCCCTCTCGCAATCCAGGACCCCTCGGGGGATGTTGGGCTGCCGGTCCCTGCAGGCTGGCCAAACCTGGCAGTCCGACATCTTCGAGGGATGTAGTAGTGTGCGAAGCGGCAGGCTGCCAGGGAGGAGCCTGAGCCCAGGCCCGGCGCCGTTGCACCTGCCACTGCTCCGTAGCACTGCTGCAGAGGCGGG